GCCGCTGCAGCGCGGGGAGAAGGCGGAGGCCGCGGCCATGTGACCGCCCGGGGCGGGGCGAGGCAGGGCGGGCTCCCGTCGCGCGACTCCAAGACCTGGGGCCGCAGCCCGGCGGCCGGGCCTGCGGGTGAACGTCTGACCCCTGCTTGCACCGCTCTGGAGGCGCCTGGCAATGAGGTAAAAGTGTGCCCCCACACTTACACTGTGCTCTGGAGGCGCCTGGGAATGAGGTAAAAGTGTGCCCCCGCGCTTACACCGCTCTGGAGGCGCCTGGGAATGAGGTAAAAGTGTGCCCCCGCGCTTACACCGCTCTGGAGGCACCTGGGAATGAGGTAAAAGTGTGGCCCTGTGCTTACACCGTGCTCTGGAGGCACCTGGGAGTGAGGTAAAAGTGTGCCCCCACACTTACCCCGTGCTCTGGAGGCACCTGGGAATGAGGTAAAAGTGTGGCCCCGTGCTTACACCGTGCTCTGGAGGCACCTGGGAGTGAGGTAAAAGTGTGGCCCTCTGCTTACTCTGCTCTGGAGGCGCCTGGGAGGAAGGGGCTAGCTGCCACAGTCTCCTCATGGCCCCGGGCGCTGCCTCAGCTGTCTGCCATCCTTCTCCCAGGGCCTGGGCAACGCTTGTAGGCTAACTGCTGTCAACAGACAGGTAGGGAGGGAGAGATGGATAGACAGGGAGGGAGGTACAGAGAGAGGGGTAGACAGACAGGTAGGAAGGGAGGTAGATGGAGATGGATAGACAGACAGGTAGGTAGAGATGGATAGACAGGTTGTAGACTAAAGTAAATAGCCACGTAGCAAGATAGAGAAGATGGAAAGAAAGGCAGAGACAGGTAGCAAGTGAGAGATGGATAGACAGGTAGAGAGAGACACAGGTAGGTCGAAATGGACAGACAGATGAGTAAATAGGTCAAGATGGACAGACAGGTTTGCAAACCGATGCATCGGGTGAAGCGAGCTTCGTCCTACAAAAGCTGGCGGTCTCTCTCTCTACTTTGGTTAATCCATAAAGCGCAGCTCGACCCTACCTTCTACTTGCCTTCAGATGTCCGCAGCTTTTGCTACGTCTCTCAACCCTCGACTTGGCAGCTTAAGCAGGAGAACAGCTGGATGTGCCTCCCTAGCGGATTGGTCAGACTAGCCCATCCTAGTCCATAGTGGATTCATCACAATACGTTTATAGGCCTAAATGGTGTCAGGTAGAAACATGCGGTAAATTATTGGAAGTCATATTACAAAGACTTTTTTTGGACAGCAGTCGCTGGACTTCCACAAGCAATCAGTAAACCGTCACCGTTCTTGTTAACTGTGAAACGCAGGCCTGGAAAGAAGCTTCTTAAAACAGATGCGCTTTCAAAAGAACCTATACTAGTAAAAGCAAGAAATAGGAGCAGAGGTTTAAAGTACATGTGTTTCAAGTGCTGTTCATCTTCAAGAGGAAATTTGACAAGCTCAATTGAGAATCGCAAATGACTGAAGAAAAGCTCGAGAGGGTTCCTTAAATACAAGGCCAGTGGAAAAGACAAAAACGTATTGCAACTAGAATGACAGAAACACCTCAGATGCTGGAATCTAGTACAAGGGACATTATGCCCCCATGCTGCACACAAATGAGTCAGAAATACTAAATATAATGCCTAATCAGGTATTTAGAAGTGTAGGAACACAGCATGAGATGCCCTATTCTGGCCATGTGTGGACACTGACATGAAATTTAAAGTCCTGAGTATGCAATACGTGGAAGAAACGGGATGGATGAGGAATAACCTGGGATTTTGGATCACCTATAGCTCAGGTCTGGCCCAGATTTGCTTGAATTAAACTGAAAAAAATTACTGGTAATTAGTGGATTGGTCTTTTTTTCCTTAATGAAAGTCATAACAGGCATTTCATTTTGGCCACTTTGTTATTGTATCCCTCCACATCAGATCCTTTCAGTGGTTTAGCCTAATGACTTAGCAGCATCAGGACACTGGCAAAGAACCAATTAACCAAAAAAATGCTATGAATAATTCATGGAATCCATATTATGTGACTAAAGCCGGGAAATAGGATCACTCTCTAACAAGTACCAGTTTGTCACACATTAATTGCACCTCCACCCACAAACATTTCACAAGTAAACTAGACATCCTTTTTTTATTATACCTTTCCTTCTCACAAGAGTGGAAAGATGCAGAGAGAAAGGAGCAATACGGGATAGGACAACTAGGTAATAGTGTCCTTTGCAGGCATCTTTATCACTGGAGTTTATGAAGGGCCCATATTATAGTAGGTCTTTAGTCAATTAGACATTTGAGTAGTGTGGCTTAGTTCAGTGAAGGATTTACTATTCCTCTTTTCCTTTCCCACTTTCCTGATATCAAGGAAATTCAGTGTGTAAAGATACTTGAAGAAGATTATGCATTTGATTTGACATGCCTTTCCAATCCCAAAATTCAAAACTCCATTTCCATACCAAATAAAAACTAGCTTAAATTTATTTGCTGCTTTTCCAGGTTTAAAAAAAACCAAATGCTTCTCTAACTTTTCATTAGAAGAGAATGAATTATTTGTTAGGAATGATACATGTGATGGATTTTGGCCTGCTGTAATACAATAAGGGGCAGATTGTGAGACAACCATCTCCCCTGATTAATATCAAAGAGCCACAATCTCATTCCCCACTCTCCCACCTCTCCATGGAGGATATTAACTGCAAGATTGCATATCCATAATATCTGCTGCAGTGCACATCGACATAACTCTGCCATTAGGATGATTTGAAGAATCTGTCTACGTACATTTTAGGAAGACCAGCTAAAGTGATAAAGTTATTTTAATGAAAATCTGTTGTTGCTTGTATGTGAACACAGAATCCAGCACTGCCAGTGAAGGCTGTGTCAGATCCATCTTAGACTGGGGACAAAAGTGAATTGTTATCACCTTAATGGTTGTCTGTTCACGTGGAAACTTTAGGCCAGGGGTGTACAACATATGGGACCGCAGGCAGCATGCAGCCTCTGGGGGCAATAGCAGTGGCCCAGCAAGTCAGCCAGCTGCATTTATGCCTTGGCACGTTGGCCAGACCGTGCACGTGTCTCAGTAGCCCTTCATTGGAAAAATGTAATGAAATAACTCCCAACAGAGTCTCAGCCGTGCGTCCCGGCCACCTTAAGACAATGGGGTGCCTGAAGTCTTCAAACATCTCTGCAACAGGGCTGGCTTTTGGGGAGTGAAAAAACTGCAAGCATAAAACAAAGTTGAACTTGGAACGAGCAAGAGCTGCCAGGGAGTCTTGAGGAGGACGACATTTGTTTTAGGGCATAAGGATGTGAAGGGGTCCCTTCTTTCAAAATGGGGTTAGACATAAGATCTGAGTAGGGGTGCCTAGTTGCCAAAACCAAAACAGTGCTAAAAACCCTGCCCAATCCCAGCAACCAAAGCAATATGTTTGGGGCTCAGCATTTACATCAGCTTGTGGAAGCCTTGGGAACACCCAGCAGCATCTCCCAAATCAGATGATCTTTGAGGGCCACCCAGGACATTGTAGAAGCAGAGCCAGAATTCATCCTGCCCTTTCCTACTCCTTTGACTAGTAGCTCAGCAGTTTTCTTTCCATCTCATTCATCCTCATGGTCTAGGTAGCTGGCATAAAGTAGTAATGGAATATAACTGTACCAGCAAGACCACAATCTGACCCTAAATTACTGAGGGAACATTTTATCTCAACTGTGACCAGCACTGCGTAGCTGAATAAAAATCACTGAACAATTATTTTGATTATTTTTTTCCATCTGCGGTCTCCTATTCATGCAGAAATCATTCACCTACCACTGAAATACAGTTATCTCTGCAATGGGACACCACAGCAGTCCTAGAACATGCACCATCAGCAATATTATACAGCAGTTTAGGTCAGAAAAAGAAGAATAATAAAACTGTGGCAACAATTTAGAAAATACTTCGTAGACCCCTTGGTCAGTAACCCATTAGATGAGGTTTAATGGCTATTTGTTATTGGATATTTCATTCAAAAATGGCACCCCAAAGCACAGGGCCCTCTATGAGTGTAGCATTTACTGTAGCATCCAATAATTGCTCCTCCTTTGCTGCAGAATTATGCTTCTGGGTCTACGGTTTATATAACCTTCAACAAACAAAACTGCAACAAAAGAAGAATACCTAAAAACTTTGAACTAAATAAACCTATGCAGTGTTGCCTCGCAGAAGTTACGGCCATCCTGAAACAGAATCTAGGAGACGGCCCTACTCAAACATAGATGAGTGCGCTGGCTAGACCATCTGAGCAAACTGGAAGGTGGACATATACC